GGGGAGAAGCCGGACAGTGTGTGATACAGTCTCAAGGGAGGCCCAGGGACCCCTGCAGGAAACTCTAAAGCTGAGTGGCCCTTCAGCATTGTCCTGAGTAGGGCCTGGGGTGGGGGGCTGGGGCTTTCATAACTCCATCTTGATTAGTCCCTGGATGCAGGTGTCCCAGGAAGGGAGTAGGGGGAAGCTCAGGAGAAATGGCTTCCTTTAGTCAAGTAACTCTTTAAGGAAGTGATGGCCAAGGGCTTCCTGCTACTGGCACTCCCAGTGGCTGGGGAGGTCAGTTTTTTATACCTGAAAGGCGATGGTGTGATGCATCACTTCTTTCACCCCTACACTAAAACGCTTAGGAAGAAAACTAGCACTTACCCAGAACCTACGATGCACCGACCATTTTTATATACATTATCTCATTTAATCTCATAACCAGAGGTTATTTGACCTCAAGGCCACATGTTTAGTGATGGCAGTTAGATTGTGGGGCCATCCCTGACTCCATAACTCTTTACTTCACATCACACTTACCCAGTGACTATTTGAAAATTGGAAATTTTGGAAATATTTATTGATTCATGTCTTAAAACTGACATCTTTTGAATATGTGTGTGTTAGGCACTGAGGAATTACAGAAAAAAGACAAAATGTCTTACCCCCCATACATATATATATAATATATATATTAAATATAAAGAAATAAGTATTTATGTGTCAATATATATATAGTCATCCCTTGGTATCTCAAGGTATTAGTTCCAGGACCCCTCTCATATACCAACATCCATGGATGCTGAAGTCTTTTACATAAAAAGATATAGTATTTGTTGATAACCTATAAACATCTAAATCAACTCTACATTACTTATAATACCTAAAACAATATAAATTCTATGTGAATAGTTGTTATAATGTATTGTTTAGAGAAAATGACAAGGAAAAAAGGTCTGTACGTGTTCAGTACGGAAGTAACCATCCTTTTTTTTTTCTTTAAATATTTTCAACCCACGGTTGGTAGAATCCATAGATGTGGAACCCACAGATATAGAAGGCCAAGTGTATATATCTTTCAATCAGTTATTTGGGCCTGAGGCCTCCTTAAAACCTATTCCTCACCTGCCATGTATAATCTATCACCATGTCCTGTTGTTTTCTACATCCAAAATATAGCTTGCATCTGCCCACTTAGGTTGTCTTCAACCCGGTTTTAGCCCACCATTGCCTCTGTTCTGCCAGGGCTTTGTCAGCAACCTCCTAATGGTCAGTCTGTATCATCTCTTGGCTCCAATCCACTCTTTACACAGTCTTCTGAGTGATTTTTCCCAAAATACACAACTTTTCATGTTACTGCGATACTTAAAGTCCTTCAATGGCTGTCTTTGGTTTTTAGGGTGAAGTCCAAATCCTTTAGAAGGTTTATAGGGCATGGTGTCTCACACCTGTAATTCTAGCACTTTATCAGGCTTGAGGCAGGAGGAACACTGGAGGCTGGAAGTTCGAGACCAACCTGAGCAACATAGCAAGCCCCTGTCTCTACAAAACATAGAAAAAATTAGCCTGGCATGAGTTTGAGGTTGCAGTGAGCTATGACGATGCTATTGCACTCTAGCCTGAGTGACAGAGAGAGGCCTTGTCTCAAAAAAAAAAAAAAAAAAGATTAGTAGACCAGACTGCTAATATTATATTTGATTTTGAGAAAGTAGGATGCTCAGGAATTGACAACATTTCTGTTTTTTGAGACAGTCTCACTCTGTCTCCTGGACTAGTGTGCCATGGCGTCAGCCTAGCTCACAGCAACCACAAACTCCTGGGCTCAAGCGATCCTCCTGTCTCAGCCTCCTGAGTAGCTGACATATAGTTGTGCACACTACCACACTTGGCTAATTTTTGTATTTTTTGTAGAGACGGGGTCTCACTCTTGCTCAGGCTGGTCTTGAATTTCTGAGCTCAAATGATCCTCCCACCTCAGCCTCCCAGCGTGCTAGGATTACAGGTGTGAATCATTGTGCCAGACCTTTTTTTTTTTTGCCTCCTGCTATCCCCAGTGCATATTATGCCAAATACCAACTTGTTCCTCATAGTTGCTGCAGCTCCCATTGTTACCGGTGCTAAGAACAAAAACCCTAGGATAAACCTGATCCCTCTCTTACACTCCCTCACCATCCATATTAGGAAATACTAGGTGCCCTTTTACAAAATATGAATCTTGAATCCAGCCACATCTCCTTAGCCTTGAAACTGGTCCACTAACCCTCACAAGTCTTACGGCAGAAGCCTCAACTCTGATCTTCCTTCTGCCTCCCTCAACCCCAGTGTATTCTCCAACATGAGCTCAAATGGAGCCTGTGGGCAGAGGGCATTGTGGTAATTTCACCTCCCCTCTCTGACCAGTTTCATCTCTAAGCATTTGAGATTCAGCATTAACTCCTGGGTTAACCTTACAAGTGTGTTTACATCAGTTGACAGAAATGGGCATACTTCCATAAATGGAGGGTGTCATAAACCTAAGACCCTAGGTTTGGGGCTTCTCCACGGTCCCAAGAGCAAAGGATTGGAAAAAAAAAATTCACAGTATTTGCATGTGCCGGTCCCTCTGCCTCTCACACTGTCCCACATCCCGTCCCACTGGATGTCAGAAAAAGGGACCCTACCGCGAGCGCCTCACTGGCGCGGACACAGGGGCCGGGCTGAAGAGACGTGAGCAGGTGCACCTCACCGGGGACTGTGGGACTTGGGCGAAGATGGAGGAGAGGGGATGGTGAGGGCGCGGAGGACACAGCGGTTACCTGAGCAGGTGCCTCAGCTCCGCCGCCGCCCTCGGGCTACGCGGGCGGGCCGAGCGGGGCCGGGAGAGGCGGGAGACCCGGGCGGGACCGGCACGGAGGTCGCTCCCCTGGCGCTGGCGCGGGTCACGCTGGGCGCCTCCGCGGAGCCTCAGAGGCGCCTCCGTGTGGCGGGGACAACTCTCCACCTTCTGGCTCAGTTTCCTAGGCCCCCACCCGGCGCTCCGGGCCTCTCACCAGACAAGCAACAAACTTTCAACGGTCTAAGTATGTTGGCATCCTTTGTAGGAGGAAAAACTTGGGTAAGACTATTGTTGATGGGTTGGCACTCAGAGGCGTGTTGATTGAAGCAAGTCTTTCTCTGATTGGCTGCATCAAGCGTGTGTCATTGATTCAGTTTACAAAAGCATGTTCCCTGTGGTGAGTTATCATTGATCAATTTAACTTAAAACTGGCTCTGATTGCTGGTTGTTACCATGACTAACAGGACAATCCATCTTTCCCTAGGATTATGGGTACTTTTAAAATTCTTGATATTGGGCTGGGCACGGTGGCTCATGCCTGTGATCCTAGCACTCTGGGAGGCCAAGGCAGGAGGATCGCTTGAGCTCAGGAGTTAGAGACCAGCCTGAGCAAGAGGGAGACCTATCCTACCCACACTCGCCTACCCCCCCCCCCCCCCCCCCCCCCCCCCCCCCCCCCCCCCCCCCCCGTCCTCCCCACTCCCCCCCATCCCCTCCCCATGTGTACTAAGAAAAAAAAATAGAAAGAAATTAGCTGGACAACTAAAAATATATACAAAAAATTAGGCGGGCATGGTGGCCCATGTCTGTAGTCCCAGCTACTCGGGAGACTGAGGCAGGAGGATCGCTTGAGCCCAGGAGTTTGAGGTTGCTGTGAGCTAGGCTGATGCCACGGCACTCACTCTAGTCTGGGCAACAAAGCGAGACTCTGTCTCAAAAAAAACAAAAACAAAGAGTATGTATTTTTTTAGCTTAATTTATTTGCTTTTTATTATGTTACTGTCAAACATACTCAATAGTAGAAAGAATGACATAATGAACCCGTGAGTCTATTATACAAATCTTACAGTTTAAAACATTTTGCAATCTTCTTTCATCTACTCCTCCACATGTTGTTTTTTTTTCCTGGAGAATTTCAAAGCAAATGTCAGACATCATTCCAGTTTACCCATAAATACCTCAAGATGTATCTCTAATAAAGGACTTTTAAAAGCCATAGCCACAATGCCATTATCACATATAACAAAATTAACAATAATTCCTTAATATTAACTAATTCTCAGACCATGTGCAAATTTTGCAAAAGAATAATGATATCATCATATAAATGAATAATGAATATTTACTGCTAATCATTATCATCCTTCCTTTGCAAAATTTAAGCTGGCTAAGCAGAGAAGAAACAATGGCAGTGGTGGTTTTAGGAATAGTGGAAAAGTGGTTAGATCAATAGGTTGCAGGCGCTGGTGGGTGGGACCTTGTGAGAGTCAGGAGCTGGAAGGGTAGGACATGATCACACTGTCCTCTTTGCCCCTTGTTCAGGCATGTCAGTCTTCCAACCTGGGGTGTTGGAAGATTCTGTGTAGATTTCTTTCCTACAGTCTCATTCATCTTAGCTCCAGCACCTGTTTTTCTCAGGAAAATCTGCAAACTAAATAAGGTTCTCCTATTATATCCCTCAGTGTATCTGTTTTGGAGCACTTATAATCATAATTTTAAAACTACAGAAAAACGTATTTGTTTGATATCTAACTCCGCTAAGAACTACCTACATTTCACTACTGCCATCGCTGGTGCCTGGAACAGTGCTAATGGGACACTCTCAATAAATATTTGTTGGACAAAAGAAGGAGGGAGTGCTCCACAGTGTCAAATGCCACAGATTTCTAAATCCACCCGTAACACGGTTTCTAAGAAGGATTCCAAATTATTTGCTCTCAAGTGAGGGTCACCATTTCCTCACTTGTAAAAAAATGTAACTTAGGAGGGCCCTGTGAGTTAATTAATTGAAGACTAAATTGAGTCTCTCGTCCCTGCTGAATTTGAAGAGACATCACTCTGAAAATCTCTTATCAACCTAAATATGCTAATTCATAAAGAAAACTATTAATCTAGGTTGTCCTAAATACTACAGCTCTCCTTAAACTCTGGCTGTAACATTCTAAGATGATCAGGAAGGGGTGGGTTCCGCGGTTTGGCTGCTTCAGGAGGCGGCGTGTTTTAACCGCCCAGAACGGAAGTTCCTAAGCCTTCAAACCCGCGGGGGAAGCAACTCGGCAACGGACCGAGATGGCGGCGCCCAGTGAGGGAGAAGCGTTTGCCGCGGGGGTTGAAAGGAATTGGGGTGCAGTCGTTCGCTCCCCAGAAGGGACCCCCCAGAAAATCCGGCAGCTGATAGATGAGGGGATTGCTCCGGAAGAGGGAGGCGTGGACGCGTGAGTTCACGAATCAACCCTGGCTCCGGTGCTGGAAGACTGGAGAGGGCTTGGGGAACACAGGCCTGGAGCGGGGATTGGGGGTCCCCTCTGTTGGCGACTTAGGTGGTGGGGATGGCTTCTTGGGATCTGAAAGAGACTGAGGTTACTAAGCTTGGTCGGCTTCGAGTTTTCCCTTGGACGTACTGGATTCCGCACAACGGACGGAATTTTGCCATAGGGCATATATTTTTGGAAGGAAAATGAGAGGACCACTAACTGAGCGCACCTGACTCCTCTTCGTTAGGGTTCTTAACCTTTTTTGTGCTGTGAACCTCTTCGGTAGTCTGATGAAGCTTGTGAACCCCCTTTCAGAGTAGTGTTGTTAAATCCTTAAAGTGAATTACGTTGAATTATAAAGGGAACCAATTACGTTGGAATGTAGTTATCAAGATAGTTAAAGAAAAAGTTATACAGTAACGTGCTTTTTATTAAAGAGTTTATATTAATAATATCTAGTGGTATGTCTGTTATCAACCATCATTTTGAAGTAGTGATGAACATAAACATTATTTCAAAACATGTGCAACAACCATAATGTGAGAAAATTATTTCCATTGATGACAAAGTTACAGGTACTACTAATACTACTATAGTTTGTTTGTTTTTTCCTGAGACAGAGTCTAGCTTTGTTGCTCAGACTAGAGTGAGTGCCGTGGCGTCAGCGTAGCCCACAGCAACCTCAAACTCCTGGGCTCAAGCGATCCTACTGCGTCAGCCTCCCAAGTAGCTACAGGCATGCGCCACCATGCTCGGATGATTTTTTTTATATATATTAGTTGGCCAATTAATTTCTTTCTATTTATAGTAGAGACGGGGTCTCACTCTTTCTCAGGCTGCTTTTGAACTCCTGACCTTAAGCAATCCACCCCCCTCGGCCTCCCAGAGTGCTAGGATTACAGGGGTGAGCCACCGCGCCCTGCCTTACTATAGTTTTTTAAATCTTCATTCATAATCAAAGGAAATGCTAAATCTCAGGGCTAGTGAAAAGTGTAATAAATGTCCTTTTTTTTCCCATCCAAGTTTATGGATCCTCTGAATTTTTTCCCAGGGCATACTTCCCCAAGGCTCTTTGTGAATCTCTGAGAAAGATTCTCAGAATAAATTTATTTCTTTAGAGTCATAATTGTTGGTATAATCCTATTTTTATTAAAATAACTTTTGTCTTTCAGCAATTTCAACTCCTCCCTCCCACTCCTAGGCACTGTCGAAATGCCTTTCACTGAAAATGAGATAATTGCTTTGCTGATTTTTTTTCTCTCAATTTTTTTTCATGGAATCTCCGAAATATACTTACCTTGACTTGAATTTTGTCGGTAGTTTCTCAGTAATAGTATCAAGGGTCTATCCAGGTAGAAATATCAAAATTGTTTTTTCTGCTAATAAAAGTTAGATTTGGGCCCGGTGGCTCACGCCTGTGATCCTAGCACTCTGGGAGGCTGAGGCCGAGGCTGGCGGATTGCTCGAGGTTAGGAGTTCAAAACCAGCCTGAGCAAGAATGAGATGCTGTCTCTGCTATAAAAATAGAAAGAAATTAATGTCCAACTAATATACATAGAAAAAAATTAGCCAGGCATGGTGGTGCATGCCTGTAGTCCCCAGCTACTCGGGAAGCTGAGGCAGCAGGATTGCTTGAGCCCAGGAGTTTGAGGTTGCTGTGAGCTAGGCTGATGCCACGGCACTCTAGCCTGGGCAACAAAGTGAGACTCTGTCTCCAAAAAAAAAGAAATTAGCTGGACAACTAAAAATATATAGAAAAAATTAGCCGGGCATGGTGGCGCATGCCTGTAGTCCCAGCTACTCAGGAGGCTGAGGCAGCAGGATTGCTTGAGCCCAGGAGTTTTAGGTTGCTGTGAGCTAGGCTGACACCACAGCACTCACTCTAGCCCAGGCAACAAAGCGAGACTCTGTCTCAAAAAAAAAAAAAAAAAAGTTAAATTTGTGAAGAGGTTCAAATTATATAAAGCATAAACAAAGTCTTACTTTGTGCTTACTAAAGTTATGCAAAATACTATCGGAGAACAGTGGGTGAACTAGTAGAATATTTTGCCAATATTAGGAGAGCACTGTGGAGATAGTAATTGATTGAAATTCAGGTATGGCCAAACTGTAAAAAGTTTTGAATGCAGAACTGATGAATTGGGGTTTTATTTAGTAAGTATTATGAAACCATTGAAAATATTAAGCAGAGGAATGACATGACGAAAACGATTTTTAGGAAGCTTAAAATCCAGTGTGATTGATAATGTGTAAAGAAGCTAGATACAAAACATTTAAGCTGAGTGGTACCATAAAAGGATTACCAACAGTTTTGCCGTTTATATTAGGAAGAATACATCTGCCACATCTCAGTCTGTTAATGGATCACCCCAAGCAGAACAACCTCCATTGGAATCTACAAGCAAAGAAGCCTTCTTTAGCAGAGTGGAAACATTCTCGATATCCTTTTCTAGTGCACGTGAGTTGCACTTTCTACATGCTCCTGTGATTGTTACTCTTCCACAATATTACACCTTGCTCTGATGTTTTAAGTTTAAGAATCAATCTTGGGGCCGGGCGCGGTGGCTCACGCCTGTAATCTTAGCACTTTGGGAGGCCGAGGCAGGCGGATTGCTCAAGGTCAGGAGTTCGAAACCAGCCTGAGCAAGACCCCGTCTCTACCAAAAATAGAAAGAAATTAATTGACCAACTAAAAAATATATATACAAAAAATTGGCCAGGCATGGTGGCGCATGCCTGTAGTCCCAGCTACTTGGGAGGCTGAGGCAGGAGGATTGCTTGAGCCCAGGAGATTGAGGTTGCTGTGAGCAAGGCTGACGCCATGGCACTCACTCTAGCCTAGGCAACAAAGTGAGACTCTGTCTCAAAATAAATAAATAAAAAAAAAATAAAAAGAATCAATCTTGGTAAAAAATTTTACAGGAAAATCAGCATCATAATATGTTATCCTCAAAGAGAATTTGAGATTATCTAAACTTTTCTTTTTACAGAAGAAAAAAGAGCCTGAGAGAAGAAATAATAGCTTATATTAGTATGTAGTATGTTTTCATATATATTACCACATTTAATCTTTATCTATGAAAATAGGTATTATTATGATTATATTTGTTTTACAGAAGAGGAAACGGTTTTAGGTATGTTATATGACTTGCTTAAGATCAACATGTTAGCAAATGGCAGATCTAGAATTATAGCCTGATGTTTTTTGAGACTATACTACTATACTGTCTCTTTCTAGATTTTCCTTTGTGTGTTAGTTATCTATTATTACATAACAAATTGCCCTAAAATTTAGTGGATTTAAACAGCAAACATTTATTATCTCACAATTTCTGTGGCTCTGGAATCCAGGGATAGCTTAGCTGAGTCCTCTGGCTCAGGGTATCTCACAGGCTGCAATCAAGGTTGGCCAGAAGCACTGTCATTTCAAGACTCAACTAGGAAAGGATCTAATTCCAAGCTCAGTCATGTAATTGTTGGCAGGATTCATTTCCTTGTGGCTATTGGGGGCTTCAGTTGGCCAGGGACCTCCCTTGATTCCTTGCTCCATGGGCCTCTCTATAGAGACAGTTCACAACTTGGCAGCTGGCTTCCATCAGAGTCAGCAGGCAAGAGAGCAAGATGGAAGCCAGACTCATTTTGTAACCTAATCTCAGAAGTGACATCCCATCACTTTTGTCATATTTTATTCATTAGAAGCAAGTCACTAGGCCAGCCCACACTTAAGAGGAGGAGATTATACAAGGGCATGAATACCAGAAAGCAGGGATCATTAAAGCCACCTTAAGAGCTGACTATATCACTTTGTTTTTACAGAAGTCTTTAGTAGTTCCAGCTGTTTTTTTTTCCCAAGTTTGCATTTATTTTTTTTCCCCTATAATCCAGACAGATTTCTACAGTATGCATTTCTCTTTTACAACAAAACTATTAACAAAGTCCTGACCTAGGAATCAAAGATATCAGAATTTAAGACCATGAAACAAGCTAAATCACACACATTTTTTGATCAAGAGACTAATGCTGGAATATTAACCAACCAAAAAAAATAAGCACATGCCAGTGATCACATTGCATATTTTAGAGAAGAGGTACTAAGCATTCATAAGTTTATTTACAGACATACCTAGTACAATATATGAGTTCAAGAGTTTTATCTATTTTTTAAAGAGATTGCACTTTTTTTTTTTTTATTGAGACAGTCTCACTCTGTTGCCCAGGCTAGAGTGCAATGGCCTCATAATAGCTCACTGCAACCTCAGGTTCCATCCTCCTGCCTCAGCCTCCTGAGTAGCTAAGACTACAGGTGCAGGCCACAATGCCCAGCTGATTTTTAAATTTTTTGTAGAGATGGGGTCTTGCTATGTTGCTCCGGTTCATCTTGAACTCCCTGGCTCCAGTCCTCCTGCCTTGGCTTCACAAAGTGCTAGCATTGCAGGCATGAGCCACCATGCATAGTCTGTCTCTATATTTTTAAAAACTATAGAGTTCCTGCTGCCATCTCTAATTCCAGTTCTACACCACAGAATTCATTCTAGTTTTGTCTCTTTCCATTTATCTCTTCCTTATTCAGCATTGTGAAGCCTAATTACTGTTATCCTTAATGTATTTGCTTCTTTGATCAATCTCCCATTTCTGCTATCCTACCATCTCCTTCCCTCCATGAATCCCTCTTCACCCCATTCAGGCCTTAGCACATACCACACTAGGCCATCCTATGTGAATGCCCTTTATATGCCACTTGGGTTCTGACACCTGTACTGAGCTGCCTCTCCCCATCCCACTGGCTCAGACATCCTCCTTGTTTACCACCTGATGACTTTTAAGACTGAATTGCTCAGGAAGGAGAAGATATTTTAACCATCTTTCTACTGTTGTTCCTTGCATTAAATCCTGATATTGATATAGTATTTAGATCCATTTTCCTTTGTTCTCATTGGCTACAAATTGATCACCATTTTGGATGTGATAATTTATTTAACTTAAACTAGTTAAGTGATTTTGTTACTTTTGTTGTAGATAATCCCTGTTCCTTTAACATTTATATATAAATTTTGTCTTCCAGCCTTCATTCTTTTTTTTTTTTTTGAGTCAAAGTCTCACTCTGTTTTCCTGAGTAGAGTGCTGTGACATCAGCCTAGCTCATAGCAACCTCAAACTCCTGGGTCCAAGCGATCTTCCTGCCTCAGCCTCCCAAGTATCTGGGACTACAGGTGCATGCCACTGACACCTGGCTGATTTTTCTATTTTTGGTAGAGATGGGGGTCTCATTCTTGCTCAGGCTGGTCTCAAACTCCTGTGCTCAAGCAATCCTCCTGCTTTGGATTATAGGCGTGAGCCACCACACCCAGCCAGTGTTCATTGTTTTTTTGCTGATATGGAATGTTTTCTAAGTTCCCATATTCCTTATAAAAATATAGAACTTTCCTGTATCATCTTTCATGTTTAACCTTTTTTTCCCCTGTGCTCTGTAAACTAGGGGCTTGTTAGGTAAAATATAAAAAGCTGAGTGTTGAATATTAAGGATCAGTGAATATTTCAGGACACTTTCCCAACTATATACATATTAGATGTTTTTAGTATTTGAAACACATATACTAATAGACACACATTAGTATAAACAATCAAATTACAGGGAGGTTAATGAAGAGTATTACTAATTTTGCTGTCTTTATTCTTTGGAAAGTAAAAATAGATGTAGTATAGTAGGAAAGCATATTCAGCATCTAGGATAATGAGATTAAAAAATAGGAGAGGTCGGATGTGGTGGCTCACATCTGTAATCGTAGCACTCTGGGAGGCTGAGGTGGGAGGATTGCTTGAGCCCAGGAGTTTGAGGTTGTAGTGAACTATGATGACTGCAACGTAGCTGGGGCAACAGAGGAAAAGTGTCTCAAAAAAAAAAAAAAAAAAATAGAGCACAGATTAGTGGCAGAAAATATTTCTGCCTATTTTGACTTTGACCATCCCTGATTGCTTAGGCATATGCTTAAGTGCTTTCACTAGTGTCTCTAAGTTCCTAGTATTTCAGATTAAGTGAAAGTGAATGGCTTCTATATTCTACCCCACAACCAATAATAAACATTTTAAACATATGAAACAGCTGGGTGTGGTGGCTCATGCCTGTAATACCAGCACTTTGGGAGGCCCAGGCAGGAGGATTGCTTGAGGTCAGGAGTTCAAGACCAGTCTATGCAACACAGACCTCACCTCTTCAAATAATAAATAATATAATTTTTAAAATTAGCCAAGCATGTTGGTGGCACCCCTATAGATCCAATTACTTGGGAGGCTGAGGTAAGAGGATTGCTTGAGCCCAGGAGTTCAATGTTATAGTGAGCTATGATCACACCACTGCACTGTAGCCTGGGCAACAGAGCAAGACCCTGTTTCTTAAAAATGTGTGTGTGTGTATTTACATATATCTAAAAAATACATAGAACTTTTATGAGAAAAAGTTAATAACTTTTTTCCATCTACTATTACTCAAATGACCTTCATCATTCTGTGAAGTATGTGCCTGGGCTTTAAAAATAGTCTTGACCACTTTTTTTTTTTACTGCTTGTACTCTTAATTTTGCCTGTTTATTCCTGTATACATTAAGAATGAGTTAAAGTTTTAATTTCTGTCTTATTCATTTTAATATACTTACAGTGTTGTTTTTCTTAACATGAATACTCTTTGAAATGGGCAGGTAAGCCCCCTGAGCTGTCTCCACTTGTCTGTGCAAAATATGGCTGGGTCACAGTTGAATGTGATATGCTCAAGTGCTCCAGCTGTCAAGCTTTTCTCTGTGCCACTTTACAACCAGCTTTTGACTTTGACAGATGTAAGTATAAGGTACAAATAACATTTTTCTCTAAAGATATACTATCCTAGTTTCTCTGAAAAAAACAATCACTTCTGTTTAATCAAAGTCTGTGTACTACTACATATAACAAGGTGAATTTGTGATCGCCTTCATACTAATTAGCTCCAATCATTACTTTTTTTTTTAATTACGCTAGCTACTTTAGAATGGACTTGACTTTGTGTATTCTAGATAACTAACAGCAGCGTATTTACTTTATTGTTCCAAAATTTACATTTTTAGGCAAAGCGATCCAAAGGTCTTTTATAAAGGCTTACGCTTTGGAATGCCCTGCCTTATAAGATATATGATATCTCCTTTGTTGATCGTAGAATCTCAATTTAGAACATGTGGAAAATATTAAGATGATGTAGTTGCTAATATTTTCATGTATTTTTAAATTCTCTTAGTTATGTTTATTTCTAGTTAAATCTTTACTTTTAAAGGCTGTTGGCCATTCATTGGATTTTGAATCTATATAGTGTTTTTTAAGGCATTGCTACCTATGTGAATTTCAGATCAAGAACGATGTGCTGAGCTGAAGAAAGCTTTGTGTACTGCCCATGAGAAGTTCTGTTTCTGGCCAGACAGCCCCTCTCCAGGTACTTATTTCTTATAATTCCCATTTACCATTTCTCCTTGGTCATTGCATTTCTAATATTGTCTATTTCTTTGTGAAAACCTAGTCTTTGAAATTTCTTTTTCTTCCTTTCTATTTGGGCTTTTCAACTTACATTCACTTATGTTATTATAATACTTAACTTTATTAAGTGCATTTGACATACCAGAGGCTTAACTATGTATACATTTTCCCATTTAATCCTCCCAGGGCCCTGGAAGATAGATATTATCAACCCAGTTTTTTTAGGCTAGAAAACTAAGAATCAGAGATGTTAAAACCAACTAGCAAAAACCCATAACTATGGTTTTATCTAATTGCACATCCTCTTCTTTTCCTACCACACCAAGCAGCCCCAAGTTCTAGAACCTAGTCTTCCTTTAGAGGGTGCATTAATGATGGCAGTTAAAAGGGTTCGGTTGCTAAAGAAGACTCACAAGACCCCAGATAAGAGTGATTACAAATCTACAGTTTATTATAATAAAACAATACACTATAACAATAGCATTTTCAAGGCCAGCCTGAGCAACATAGCCCTGTCTCCAAAAATGAAAAAAACAGCACTGAGTAAAAGGTGTCGTCATAGCCAAAGGCTGCCTCAGCTAGTGATCTGAAGAGGCCAGGTTCAAGCTCACATTTTCTCCCTAAATAAGAGCCAAAGCAGGACACATTCTCCCTTGAATCAGGAACTACTCATATGTGCACAGAACACTTTGGAATAAGAGAGCCCAAAACGTACTCTCAACTGGGATTTTTTTATTTTGTTGATCACGTAAACATGTTTCTGCTAAGTAAACAGCTTCAATCGCAGAGCCCTCTGGTGGGGAATTGCAACCAAGACTAGGTACAAAATTCTTCAGACCCTTGGTTAAAAAAGTAACACTATTCATCTATATATTTCATGCCTTGACCAGGGATCAGTGCCATTTAGGTATATTTTTTATTTCAGTAGGACAGCTCAGGCTAATGCCAGGGTCACTGATGGCTAGGAATATTCCGTGACTGACCAGTAAGAGGAAAAAATAGATTGAAAGTGATCAGAGATTGCTATCTACCTCTGATAAATGAAGGGGTGGCAGAAAGGGGGTTAATTAAGAATCAAATTAGTTAAAGTGAAGATGATTATGTAACTAAAACTTCCTGAGCTATTGACTGAGCTATTTTACTGTATAGTGCAACAAAACTTAGTCCTATGAGGATTTGAATCCATTCTCATCCAGTGCACTTAGTCCAAGTTTTCAGAATCTTCCCAGGGCTCTGTTGGTGGTTCCCAACTCTTGGTACTGTGTGCTTTGCTTTCTTCTTCTTTTTTTTTTTTTTTCTTTTTGGAGATAGGGTCTTGCTCTGTCACCCACCCAGGCTAGAGTGAGTGGTGCAATCATAGCTTACTGTAGCCTCAAATTCCTGGGCTCAAGTGATCTTCCTAGCTCAGCCTCCCAAGTAGCTGAGACTATAGGCACATGCCTCCATGCCTAGCTAATTTTTTTTTTTTGGGAGACTGTATTGCTTAGGCTGGTCTTGAACTCCTGGCCTCAAGTGATCCTCTCAAAGTGCTGGAATTACAGGCATGAGCTACCATACCTGGCTGCACTTTGCTTTCTTGATCCCATTCATAACTTCAGCTACCACCTTGGAGACCTCTAATTCTTATCCAGGCCTCCCTTTTGAACTTGACTCATATTTTCATCTACCTTCTAAGCATTTCTACTTAATATTATAGGTATGCCAAACTCAGTATATACAGTACTGAACTCTTCATCTTGCACCTAAAAGTTTTCTCTGTCTTGGTAAATGACACTGACCTCTCCACCCATTTGTCCTAGCCAAAAACCTGGAAGTCACTTTAGATACCCTTCCCTCTTGTCTTTCACCTTGTCCTATTCCTTATACCACCTCTTGGTTTGGTTCTTTAACATTCAAGGGATTTTTGTGTGGAGAAAGGAACACTTACAACTATTTACACTTTAATGCTTAAATTTATTAAGCATACCTAATAAGTATAATTTTGAAGGTTATTTTTCTAACATTTGCCAATAATTACAAGCTAAGTTAAATTGCTGTAAACATTTTAATTTATAATTATTAATTTATTAGGACTGATATTTTGAACATGTCACCTTGTTTTTTTTCTTTGTTCTCATGTCAGATGGGTAATGTGCTGACATTGTAACGAGGTTTGAGGGAGGCACAACTCACACATGAGTGTGAAAGCCCAGTCATCACATTTGTGAACTACAAAAGGATCCGAAACATTTTATTTTTATTTATTTATTTATTTTGAGACAGGGTCTCACTCTGTTGCCCAGGCTAGAGTGCCCTGGTGTCAGCCTAGCTCACAGCAACCTCAAACTCCTGGGCCCAAGTGACCTCCTGCCTCAGCCTCCCAGGTAGCTGGGACTACAGGCATGTGCCACCATGTCGGGCTAATTTTTTTTATATATGTTTAGTTGGCCAATTAATTTCTTTCTATTTTTTTTAGTAGAGACAGGGTCTCATTCTTGCTCAGGCTGGTCTCGAAGTCCTGACCTTGAGTGATCTGCCCACCTTGGCCTCCCAGAATGCTAGGATTACAGGCGTGAGCCACCACACCTGGCCTGAAACACTTTAAATGGTAGACAAAATATACAAATAACATTAATTATAAAATATATATTTAAACTTATGTTAAAACATTTTCATGATGGGTTTAATTTCTTCTCTGTTTGTTCTTTTACCTTCATAGAGTTTTACTTTACTAGCACTTTCTTAGTGTTATAGTAATCAGACCAAACCTTAAATTGGAAGAAGATGATCAGAAAGGTCTTAGGACCTGATTTTTCTTCTCCCAAGTTTTGTAAAACCTGAGCCATCAGAACATTTTATCTTTTTATTGTTAAACTCACTCGATTTTTAAAGTCCCTATCTTTTTCCACTGTTTTCAAGTTTTTATAACCTGACTTTTCCAGTAAAATGGTGCATCTTTTTAAATTGATGGCATGTGTTTTGACATATTGATTACTTGAAACAACTTTAAATAATTTGCTAAATCATTAAGAAATATTTTGTTGCCTTCTGGATATAGAAAGTATTCCCCTTGTTTTATTTTTAATTTTTAAAATAATTTCTAAAATTATGAAATGTTTCCACTACAGAAAAATTTATAGATGATAATAAGCAAAAATCTCTGTATCTACCACCTGATCCTACTTAATCCCAAAATTTTGCCTTCCTTGCTTCAAACCAACCCACCTTGCTTTCTTTTTGTTAATCAAGAAGAATTACAGATACAGCTATAATCACATTCCTTGCCTGCCTATCCTGAGAGGTAACTACTATATGAATTGGGTGTTTATCATGTGTTTACCTGCTTTCAGGAAGGGGTAGTATTCACTTTTTAAAAATTAATCCCATGTTGTCACCTGTAGCATGTTTGAGGTTTTGTAATTAGTAGATCCATCTAAAATTTTAATCTCCCAGGAAATCAGGGATAGAGTTTGCCCGTTTAGCTCTCCCTTTGGGAAAGCTTATTTATTCTCATCTTGGAACCCACTGTCAAACCCTCTTTCTACATGATTATTGTGCATGACTATAACTTAAACACTCTTTTTACCTAGTTGTGTGTGGTCACAGATATTGATCAAGCGTTCCTGTTTTTAGTATCTCATCTTCTGGGTATAGTTTCCTACTTATTCAGGTTGTATTTAGCATATTTGCACTTCCCTATCTACTTACATAGATTTTGAGCTTTTTGGACATTTAGGTTAACGTTTTTCATCAAACTTGGGGAGTTTTCAGCCAGTATTTCTTTCTTTCTTTTTTTTTTTTTTTTTTTTTTGAGACAGAGTCTCACTTTGTTGCCCAGGCTAGAGTGAGTGCCTTCGCATCAGCCTAGCTCACAGCAACCTCAAACTCCTGGGCTCAAGCGATCCTACTGCCTCAGCCTCCCAAGTAGCTAGGACTACAGGCATGTGCCACCATGCCTGGCTAATTTTTTGTATATATATTTTTAGTTGGTCAATTAATTTTTTTCTACTTTTACTAAGACGGGTCTCGCTCAGGCTGGTTTCACACTCCTGACCTTGAGCATCCTCCCACCTCGGCCTCCCAGAGTGCTAGGATTACAGGCATGAGCCACTGCACCCAGCCTTCAGCCAGTATTTCTTCAACTATTCTTTCCTTTTCCCTCTCCTCTCCTTGTGCAACTCCCATTATGCAAATGTTGGTGTGCTTGATGGTGTCTCACAGATCTCTGAAGCTCTATTTTTCTTCTTTTTCTTTCTGTTTCTCAGACTGGATAATCTCAATTGACGAATCTCAAAGTTTGCGCGAGCTTTCTTCTGACAGCCCAAATTTCCTGTTGAACCTTTCTAGTGAAATATTTTTTTTGGATGGGTACACATATTTATATTAATATTGAATTTATTATTCTTTATATCTTATATATACATGTTTACATATTTTTGTAGTATGACATATTTCATTAAAAAAGTGAAAATGAGGCCGGACGCGGTGGCCCACGCCTGTAATCCTAGCTCTCTGGGAGGCCGAGGCGGGCAGATTGCTCGAGGTCAGGAGTTCAAAACCAGCCTGAGCAAGAGTGAGACCCCGTCTCTACTATAAATACAAAGAAATTAATTGGCCAACTGATATATATATAAAAAATTAGCCGGGCATGGTGGCGCATGCCTGTAGTCCCAGCTACTCGGGAGGCTGAGGCAGTAGGATCGCTTGAGCCCAGGAGTTTGAGGTTGCTGTGAGCTAGGCTGACGCCACGGCATTCACTCTAGCCTGGACAACAAAGCGAGACTCTGTCTCAAAAAAAAAAAAAAAAAAAAGTGAAAATGTGACTTTAAAAATGAAGAGACTAGGCCGGGCTCGGTGGCTCACGCCTGTAATCCTAGCACTCTGGGAGGCCGAGGCGGGCGGATTGCTCAAGGTCAGGAGTTCAAAACCACCCTGAGCAAGAGTGAGACCCCGTCTCTACTATAAATGGAAACAAATTAA